CACTGGCAAAAATATTCAAAAACTCATGGCACTTAGGTGAAGTACCTGAAGACTGGAAGAAGGCCAATGTGGTACCCATCTTCAAGAAAAGGCGGAAAGTAGATCCCGGGAATTATAGGCCAATCAGCTTGACCTTGATCCCCAGTAAGATTCTGGAGAAAATTATCAAAGAGACCCTTGTTCATAAGCTGGCTGAGGGCAACATCCTGAGGGACAGCCAGCACGGGTTTGTCGCCGGTAGGTCTTGCCTGACCAATCTCATTTCCTTCTATGACCAGGTGACATATCACCTGGACAAGGGCAAAGAGACTGACATCATATATCTGGACTTTAAGAAAGCCTTTGATACAGTGTTCCATGAACTCCCCATGGAAAAATTGGCCAATTGTGGCCTCGACTACACCAGTCCATTGGCTGGGAAATTGGCACCGAGGTCGGACCCAGAGAGTAGTAGTCGATGGGAGTGAATCATTATGGCGCTCTGTGACCAGTGGTGTCCCCCAAGGCTCTGTCCTTGGACCTGTTCTCTTTAACATCTTTATCAACGATGTGGACATTGGTATCAGAAACGCACTGGCCAAGTTCGCTGATGACACTAAACTTTGGGGCATAGCATCCACACCTGAGGATAGGCTAGTGATCTAGGCTGACTTAGATAAGCTCAGTAAGTGGGTGGATATAAACCTGATGATGTTCAATACTGATAAATGCAAGGCACTCCACCTCAGGACCCCCCCCTCCAAGCATGCTTATAGGCTCAGCAGTGCTACACTCGCTAGCACCACGGCTGAAAGAGACTTGGGGGTCATGACTGACCACAAGATGAACATGAGCCAGCAATGTGATGTCGCAGCCGGTAAAACAAACAAAACTCTGGCTTGCATCCATAGATGCTTCTCAAGTAAATCTCAGGATTTCATCCTCCTGCTGTACTTGGCTTTGGTGAGGCTGCAGCTGGAGTACTGCATCCAATTCTGGGCTCCACAATTCAAGAAGGATGGTGAGAAACTTGAGAGAGTTCAGAGGAGAGCCACACGCATGATCAGAGGGCAAGAGAAGAGGCCTTATGAAGAGAGGCTGAGAGCCATGGGACTCTTCATCCTGGAAAAGTACATAAGGGGTGTGCATCAGGATCTGGGGGAATGTCTGTTCACCAGAGCGACCCAAGGGATAACAAGGACCAATGGTCATAAACTCCTCCAAGACCATTTTAGGCTGAACATAAGGAAAAATTTCTTTATTGTCCGAGCCCCCAAGACCTGGAATAGACTCCCTCCAAAAGTGGTGCAGGCACCTACTCTGGACTCATTCAAGAAACGTTTGGATGCTTATCTTGCTGGGATCCTGTGACCCTAGCTGACTTCCTGCCCCTGGGGCAGGGGACTGGACTTCATGATCTTCAAGGTCCCTTCCAGCCCTAATGTCTATGAATCTATGAACTAATGGGCAAGAATGTCTTCTTTTGATATTGTGGTCTCATACTGGAAATGCAATCAAATTTAATGAAAATTAAACCATTAAAATTAAAAAGCAGCTTCCGGCACTGTACCTGGTTGTAAATCTGAATGCAGACTTTTGTGGTTTTATAATCATATCGTTGCATTTTTTTTTTAGTTGTAGAGGGTTGGTGTGGCTTAGGACAAAAATAGGTTTTTTTTCTTTTTTCTTTTAAAGAAATACAAAACCAATTAGAAAACTAGGAAAGTTGGCAGGAGGGTTCAGTGGTAGATATAGTACCTGGACTCTCCGTACTTTATTTTTAAATTGTTAAGTTTTCCCCATGAGAGAAGTATCCGAAGGCTGACAGTTCTAACAAGGCTAAACTTGCCATACTTACCTCAGTAGTTTGCACTGTCTTACTAGATTTCCTGACTTTGAGGTACTGAACCTCAGGAAGCTGATTTCTTTGCTGACATGAAGGCAGAATGGTCCCATAGTCTCCCCCCTCACAGCCCCCACTTAATTACTTTGGGGTCTCGTCCTTGTAGAAATCTTGCCAAATGAGGAAATGTGCCAAATCACCCAGGTGGTAGAAAGATTACTCTCTCATGCTAAACAGGAACCATTTCTTAAAAGTATTACATCCCATCTGCTTTCAGTGGCACAGAACACTTGGAAGTCAGGGTTAGAATTACAGTCAACTGAAGGGTAATCATTTGAAAAGACTGAATCTGGCTGGAGGATGCTGGGTTGGCAGAGGTTGCCTCTGGGTTTCTGCACATAGGATAGCTTTGTTAATCCTAGGAAAAGATATACGATCAAGGAAATTTGGAGGAGGGTTATCTCTTGTCACAGGTCCCACCACTAGATAGGAGAGAGATTTAGGAGTAGATTTGACTTTAATTTAATATATAGCTAGAGGTAACGCTTTTGTTTAACTGGATTTTAAGGGTACATATTTCTGCATTTCAAAATTTTCAACTCTGAATTAAAAAAAAAATCTCAATCCAGACCCCTCAAAAGTCATGAGAAAGGCTTGGAAATCATGGGATAAAAACAGTGTGTAGCTTCCTTCTGGCATCACTAGGATTTCCTTGTTTAACATTTTTGGCAATTTATCTGTAACCATTGAGGGCAGAAACTTACCTTTTCTTCATAGTTTCATAGTTGGTAGGGTTGGAAGGGACCTGAGTAAATCATCAAGTCCACCCCCCTGCCATGGCAGGAAAGAGTACTGGGGTCAAACAACCCCAGTGAGGTGTTCTTCCAGCCTCCTCTTAAAGACCCCCAGGGTAGGAGCCAGCACCACTTCTCTTGGAAGTTGGTTCTAGATCTTAGCTGCCCTGACTGTGAAGTAGCACCTCCTGATATCTAGCCTGAATCTACCATCTGCCAGCTTGTGACCACTATTTCTTGTCACTCCTGGTAGTGCTTGGGGGAACAGGGACTCCCCCAATGCCTGTTGGTCCCCCCTGACTAGTTTGTAAATGGCCACTAGATTCCCCCCTCAGCCTTCTCTTATGGAGGCTGAACAGGTTCAGGTCCCTTAACCTCTCCTCATAGGGCCTGCCCTGCTGATTCCTGATCATGTGGGTGGCACTCCTCTGGACCCTCTTGCTGCTGTCCACCTCCCTCCTGAAGTGCGGCGCCCAGAACTGGATGCAGTACTCCAATTGCGGCCTGACCAGTGTCGCATAGAGGGGGAGGATCACCTCCTTGGACCTGCTTGAGATGCATCTGTGGATGCATGACAAGGTACGGTTGGCCTTCCTGACCGCATCCCCACATTGTCGGCTGATGTTCATTTTGGCATGACTCCAAGATCCTTTTCTGCCTCTGCACTGACGAGAAGGGAGTTCCCCAGCCTGTAGATATGCTGCTGGTTCTTCCCCCCCAGGTGCTGTACCTTGCACTTGCCAGTGTTGAACAGTGTCCTGTTCTCATCTGCCCACCCCTGTAACCTGTCTACGTCCGATTGCAGCCTATTCCTCCCTTCTAGTGTGCCCACTTCCCCCCACAACTTAGTGTTGTCTGCGAATTTGAACAGGGTGCTTTTTACACCCGCATCCAAGTCGCTGTTGAAGATGTTGGACAGTGCGGGCCCGAGGACCGAGCCCTGCGGGACCCCACTGCCCACATCCCTCTAGGTCGAATAAGACCAGTCCACCACCACTCTCTGGGTGCGGCCCTCCAGCCAATTAGTGACCCACTTGACTGTGTAGATGTCGACGCCACAGTTTCCTAGTTTTTTAATGAGAATGGGGTGAGAGACAGTGTCGAAGGCCTTCCTAAAGTCCAGAAAGACTACGTCCACTGCTACCCCTGGCATCTAAGGATTTTGTGACCTGGTCATAGAAGGCCACTAGGTTGGTCTGACAGGACCTGCCTCTGATGAACCCGTGTTTTTTGCCCCTAAGCATAATCTCCCTGGCTGGCCCCTCACAGACATGAGCCAGGATAACTCTCTCAAAAAGCTTACCCAGGAGTGAGGTAAGACTGACTGGCCTATAGTTTCCTGCATCCTCCTTCCTCCCTTTTTTGAAAATGGGAACCACATTGGCCCTTTTCCAGTCATCTGGCACCTCGCCAGAGCACCATGAGCGCTCTTAAAGCCATGCCAGGGATCCCGCAATGACCTCTGCTAATTCCCTCAGCACTCTGGGGTTGAGATCATTGGGACCTGCTGATTTAAATATGTCCAGTCCCTTCAGAAGTTCCCTGACTAGGTCCTCACTGACCTTAGGCCTGGGTGCGCCTCCCCTGGGACCTATGGGGGTCCCAGTGGGGGGCGGGGGGGGGGGGGACCCGGTCCCTAGTCAGAAAAATGGAGGCAAAGAAATTTTTAAATAGGTTAGCTTTTTAAAAGATGAAAGCTGAGATTCTCATGCAAATCTCATTCCACCAAGAGGGACTTTAAGTAAGTTGTCTTGTGATTTTACTGCAAATCTCATGATACCAGAGTGAGCAACACTAACATTTGCTGTCCCATTTTGGGAACAAATGTTAATAAATGTTACTTTTATGCACTCTCTCTCTCCTCAGTTTTACCAAACATTGATACCCTTTCTAGGGAGCCTGGAATAAGAAGTGATTGTCAAAAGTCGATAAAAGTCAGTTTTAGCAGCAGTGGCCTAAATTTTTTGCCACAGACACAGTATAGGTAAGAATTTAATTGAGGATTGCCAAAGCAGTTTCTCACCTCGTTAGGTGGAAAGTAAAAGAATTTCTTATTTTAGCAGAATAGGTTTGCTTATTCCACACACACACGAGTTAAGGTTGGCATGGGAGCCTCAACTGAGAACTTTCTGATATTTTCATGTCTAAATTCTTCATGTCAGCTTTGTAGCTAGGTCTTTGACATTGACAGTCTTCAGCTGCCATAATATATGTTGCAATCTTTTGACACTGACAGTCTTAAACTGCAGGAATATATGCTGCAGTTAAAAAAAAGAAAATAACACAATTTAATGTTTAATGCTTTAAAAATAACATCTGAAATATTTTCAAGTTCAAAACGTTGTGGTGTAACTTAGGACCTGAAAGTAACACAGCCTAAGTCATGCCAAATACTTTTCATTTCTTTTTTATAAAAATAATGAACACAAAGGGTAATCAACATGTTTTTCATTATCAAATAAAAGAATCAGATCGTTATAAATATACAAAAGTTTTGTTATGAAGGCACAACATATTTTTTTTCCTTAGTCAATTTACTCTTAATATTATTTAATCAAGTATATACAGTTGAATGAGAAAAATAAAACTAAAAAGCTCTCCTCAAAGAGAGAGCCTGGCAGATTTGCATAATTTGCATAATTCTGATCTCATTTTCCATCGGTTTTACAACATTTTTAACTCCATTCATTTCCTTGGACTTATTCTTGTTAGTGACCTGAGCAGTAGGATTCTATTAGCAAAGGAACAAATAGTGGGAATGCAAGGACTTGTGTCTGCACTCATCTGACAGATAAATTTATACTCACTCACAACTGGATATTTTCATTTATATAGTTACCATCATTTGGTCAGAACTAGAAGGGTTCTGTTACATAGATTTCAAAGGGCAGGCAACACCATTATCTTGGTATAGTAAAAATGTCATTTTGGTTTCAATATTATAAAGAGAAGAAATATTGTGAGAATGGATGACCTTTTGAATACTAGCAAAAATTATGAAGCAAAACTGAACAGCTCCCAAATGCTTTGGATTGGAATCTCTTATTTACACCAGTTTATATTAGAACAACTCTATCACTTCTGTTTCTACTAATGTAAGACAGATGAGAATCAGACACAACAGCTGGGCCCATTCTAGTAGTTGTAATATTATTTTCCAGGTTGATTTAATAACCAAAAACTTAATCCACAGAAAGAGGGTTTGACCTTATTATTACTTACCTAGTGTAATTTAGGAGTTATGCTGCTCAGGTCAAAGGAGTTGCATGGTTACGTGAGGAAAACAAGGTTCAAACTTTTGCATATTTCTTAAACCGAGTTTTGCCCCTTCTACTTTCTTTCCACCAGTCCAACACAGAGACAAGATCCTATTCCAGGCTCTTATTTATGTCCAGTCCTGGTTTAAAATAATGTAGTAGTCCAACTGCAATTAAAAGTGGGAGGGTCTAGTATTTGGCAACATCCTTTCAAGAAGTGCAGGCTGTAGTTTCCACCCGGGTTTGTGATGGTGCTGGGGAAAAGATGGGAAAGCAAAAAGTCAGGCCTATTTTCACAATATAGATTTAGCCGGAGAATTTAAAATGCTTTAAATTCTCATCCTGTTAATGGAACTTAAAATAAGTCCCTAAGCCATAGGAACTTCTATCAGGACTCCTGAAATGCCCCAGTGTTTTTATTTTATGACTGAAAAATGTTTTTTTTTAATCTTAGAAATGTTTTTCCAACTTTATTGTATTAGATAGAACTTGCTGTTTACCAGGAACTAGTTAATGAAATGTATTCAATGTAATAAATGACATGAAGAGAAAACTCAAATGAATGAGGATGGTATTAAAGCTGGAGTTTTGCTCTAAGTAAATATTAGTGACGTGTCTAGTGTTTTTCTGAGACACATTCAGAACACTAAGTTATTAAAAAAAAAACCCTCCACCCTGAGTACCATACAAGCATAAGTGTTCAGAAGCACCCAGTATTGACACCAATACACTCTTCAAACAAAAAGGGTACTTTTGCCTGCTCTAAAAATGTCACTATAAAAGCAGCTAGCTTTTGATTTAAAAAATATGGTCACCTTACATTTGTTGGTTGCATTTGTAAGTATCCCAGAATACTTCTGCAGAAAAGATAATGGAGGACAAAAAAACTCCAGGAAGTTAATTGATTTATAGAA